ACTGCTTTTGTTAAGACCACACAGTCTCATCCCAAGACTTAACTGTAAAGCTACGCAGTATGTCTCAATGTTGGCACAATTAATATTTTGGGCGGGATAATTCTCTGTGGTGGTGGGAGGCTGTCTTGTGCATTATAGGATATTTAATAACATCTCTGACTTCTACCCACAATTATGACAACCAAAATTGTCTCCAGACATTGTCAAATACCCTGGGGTGTGGCAGGGTGGAAGGGGGGCAAAATTGTCCCCACTCGAGAACCACTGAGCTACAACAATCAAAACAGTAAGGTATTGGCAAATGACAGACACATAGATCAATGGAACAGAATAGAAAGTCCAAAAACACATCCATATTTATACAATCAATTAATTTTCAACAAAGTCTCAATGGCAATTTAAAGGAAGCAGAATAGTCTTTTCAACACTTAAGTCACATGCAAAAAAATAATGTACTTGAACATACCTCACACTGTATACAGAATTTAACTCAAAATGGATCATAGACCTAACCATAAAACCCCCAAATTTAAAAGACACTTTTAAAGATAGAAAAAAAAAAAGCCACAGACTGGTAGAAAATATTTGTAAAACAAAAATTTCATAAAGGAGTGCATATATTTTTTAAAAGTCTGAAAATCAAAAAATAAAAAATACATAACTCAATTTATAAAAGGCATGAAAGATTTGTAGATACTTCACCAAAGAAAGTGCACAGAAGGCAAATAATTACATAAAAATATGCTCAACATTATAAGCAAAATAAGTCAGTCAGAGAAAGACAAATGCCATATGATTTCACTCATATGTGCAATTTAAGAAACAAAACAGATGAACATAGGGGGGAAGATAAGAGAGAGGCAAACCAAAAACAGACTCTTAACTATAGAGAACACACTGAGGGTTGCTAGAGGAGTAGTGGGTAGGGGATGGGCTAAACGGGTGATGGGTATTAAGGAGCGTACTTGTGATGAGCACTGGGTATTGTATGTGAGTGATGAATTACTCAATTCTACACCTGAAACTAATATCACACTGGATGTTAACTGCAATTTAAATAAAAACTTGAAAAAGAAATGTAAAAAAAAAAAAAAAAGATAGGCTCAACATTATTAGTCACTAGGGAAATGTAAATTATAACCCCAAAGAGGTATCACAACACACCTACTAAAGTGACTAAAATTTTACAACTGACATGCATGGATAGTGAGAGTGCAAAATGATACAACACTTTGGAAAACAGTGGGCAGTTTCTCACACAGCTAAAATGCATTTGCCATATGACCCTACAATCCCACTCTGAGGCACCTACCTAAGAGACAATAAAACCTATGTTCACATAAAAACCTGTATGTGAATTTTTATAGTGGCTTTATTCTCATTTGCCAAAGAAAACCAAAGCTGGAAACAGCTCAGTGCCCTTCAACCTGTAAATGGATACACACACTGTGGTGAATTCATACACTGGAATATTACTCAGCAATAAAAAAGACCAATGTACTGTTACACACAGCAATATGAATGAATGTCTGACGTACTCTGCTGGGTGGATGAATCCAGGCTCGAAAGGCTACATGATGGATGGTTCCATTTATATGACTCTGGGGGCCAGGAAAGATAGTGGTGGCCACAGGCTATGGGTCGGGGAGGTGTTGTCCACAAGGAGGCTCAAGAGAGCTTTCTAGGTGGCGAAACTCTAATTTGACTGTGGTGACAGTCACATGACTCCATGCGTTTGACTCATGGAGTCAAAACTCAAAGAACTCTATGCTAAAAAGGACGAATTTCACTGATGTGAATCATAGCTGAAACGATTATATATGAGTAAGATTTCTAATTAGAATTTTAGAAAGAAAATTAATCACTTAAGAACTTAAATAAAATGCTCTGATTATAATAAAGCACAAGTCAGAATCTGTCATTCCGCTGCTGATGCTTGGCATCCATCATCCCCTTCACATACACCTGACTTCACTTCCTTCCACTCTCCTCGGCTACACTGATTTCCTTGCTCTTCCTGGAACTTCTCTTTCTCTTTTGTTCGAACGCTCCTCCCTCAATTCCTTCATGGCCTTTGTGCAAATGTCACTTTATCAGAGATCTTTCCTGATCTGATTCTGTCTCTCAATATTCCTTCTCCCCCTTACTCTGCTTTATTTCTCTCCATAGTACTCCTCACGCATTTATTTTTATTTTTTATTTTCTTAGAGAGAGGGAGAGAGAGGGGTGGGGGTAGGGGCAGCTGGAGAGGGAGAGAGAGAGAATCTTGAGCAGGCTCCATGCCCAGCTCCAGCCCAACGTGGGGCTCCATTTCACGACCCTGAGGTCATGACCTGAGCTGAAATCAAGAGTCCGATGCTTAACCGACTGAGCCACCCAGGCACCCCTCATGCATTTATTTTTCATGTATTTCCTGTTTGCATGTACTACAATGTAAACGACTTCATCTTTATCTGCTTTTATCACCTTTGTCTCCTAAGACTGTTCCTGAAACATAGTGCTTCGTAAACACTGGTTGAATGAATGCATACATGGATGAATGGGTGCAGGATGGAGAGAGGGACAGAGTCGGGCAAGGGGGAGAGGAAGGTATGGGTGGAGCGGGTGTTGGAGTTGATTGGATATTCTCTTTTAGAGAATTTGAATACAGAACATGAAGTGAGAGTAGGCAGCAATTGTAACAATAAAAACAGACACAAAAGAAACCGATTTACCAAAAAGGTTAAATACTAAATTAGGAGCCACAGCTACATGCTTTTCTGAAGGACAGTAAAGCTGTTAAACATGCATATGGTAAACAAACATATCACAATCTCCTAAACCGCAGCCCCCTTCTCCCTGAATCTCCTCTTCTCTGCCTTCTTTACTCCTGTGAGTATCCCTACAACAGTCCCTCTTGGACTAAGACACCCCGTATGTGTCACTCAAAGACCCTAACCACCCAGCACTCATCCCCCACTCTCTGTGATGGACCCGGGTGTCCATGTTTTTCCCTGCTAGAAAAACAATGCCCTGTACAGGTCTTGGGGGCAGGAGTCAGAGAGGAAAGCCACTCTCCTGCCGGCCTCAAAGCAGTGTGACAACAGAATTCTGTGCCCCCGAGGAGACCCCAACAGCAGTCCCTACATTGGAACAACTTGTCTCATCATGCCCCTTAACCTTGGTTTGGGTGGGCATCCTTTATCCTCCCAACTCTTATCCCCACTCCATTCTGACACTCTTTTTTCTGATCTCCTTCCCCCAAGCCCTTCCACTGAGCCCTCTGAAAATCACCAGTAAAATCTCCATAGCCTTCAAATCTGAATTTGCCTGAATCCAGCGTGCTATCACTGGAACTTGACTTCCCCCCGCAGATACTGTTTCCCCTGAAGCCTCTCAAGTGGTAGCTGTTTTCTCTACCATTTCTCTTGTTCCATGAGAATCTCTTGCATCTCATTGCCAATCTCAGCCCCTTCTACATCTTCTTCCCTAAAACGCCTAGCCTTGAATCTCTCGTCATCTAACCAACCATAGGGATTCTCTCTCTCCTTTTCTGATACATGCATTCATTGCTATCAATTTCCCTCTCAGCACTGCTTTTGCTGCACCACAGTAAGTTTTCACTTATTTCAAAAATTTTTTTTAATTTCTCTTGTGACATCATCTTTGACCCATGTGTTATTAAACTTCCAAACATTTTGAGATTTTCCAGATATCTTTCTGCTATTGATTTCTAGCTTAATTCCATGTGGTCTGAAAATATGCTTTGCAAGATTTCTATTCTTCTGAACTTGTCAAGGTATGTTTTATGGCCCAGAGTGTGTTCTGTCTCTGTTAAGCCTTCCATGTGAGTGTGCAAAAAATGAGTATCCTGCTGTGGCTAGATGGAGTATTCTCTCAATGTCAATTAGATCCAGTTGATTGATGGTGCTATTCAGTTCAGCTATGTCCTTACTGATTTTTTCTCTCTGCTGGATCTGACCTAGCTTAAATTCCATGGCCATTCACCATACTCCCTCCACTGCACGTTGCCCCTCTCTGCTCCTGTGCCTTCACTTACCCAAACCACGACTTTGATTCAGTCCAGCTCTCTGCATATGCCTTGCCTTGTCTCCACACATGCTGGCTCTGGTTGGAGAAAACCACCCACCCTTGCTGAATGGTCTCTCTTAAAATTCATGACCTCTAGCCTCAGGTGGGCCTAGTATGTTGCCAAGCCAAAAGACTGACCTTTGCTGGTCCATTCCCAGGGATGGACCCATTCCCATCCCACTTTCATGAATGGCTGTTTTATACCTTCCCATTTCTCCTCAAATCGCTAATACCTCCTCCTTAACCCTTACTTTCTGCAGATGACCTCACCTTCTAGATCACTGAGAAAGTAGAAATACCCATCACCATATCTACACTTGTATTTGTGCTCATAAGCTCTGCCTCCAGGCCTTTTACCATGAATGGCTTGTCTGTGCCAGTAGCCATGCCATCCCCTTCACGTATGCACTAGATTCTTCATGCTTATTCAATAGTTCAGCAATTCTCTCTTTCCCTGCATCATCCATTTGTCCCTCTCTTTGATCTTTCTCATCAGCACATAGGCTGTTTTTCTTAAAAAATGGCAGGCATTTTATTCCTTGGGGCTCTGCATTTGATTTTTCCTCTTGGGAAGATGCTCTTCCCCAAGATAGCCACATGACTCTCTTTCCCTCTCTTTCCCAGGTCCTTACCCAAATGATACCTCTCAGGGACACCTTCTCTGGCCACCTGTCTAAAATTGCAACCCCTTGGGGTAGACACGGCTTAGGGTGGCTCCCAATGAGCCATGTCCTTGTAGAATCCTACTCCCAGTGCCTGAGGGCAGAACCTGTTACTTGCTTCCAACAAATAAAATGTAGCAAAGGTAACAGGGTGTCATTTATTGGTTAGGTTATATTATATGGCAAGGTATTGGACTGTCACCCCATCATTATCTTACATTATATAAGACTCCATCGTAGCAGGGTAGAACAAGAGCTTCTCCTTACCAGCTTGAAGAAGTAAGCTGCCATACTGCGAGAAGTTCTCTGGAACTGGGAGGATTTGAGGATCCAAGGCAGCTTCCAGTGGACAGCCATTAAAAAGCCGTGGCTCTCCGTCATACAAGCATAAGGAACTAAATTCTGCCAACAGCCTGAGTGAGCCTAGAAGAGGATTATTCTCCAGTTAATTCTCCACATGAGAATTCAGCCCAGCTGCACCTTGACTGCAGCCTTGGGGGCCATGAGCAGAGGACCCAGTTAAGCCCAGAGTCCTGGACTCACAGAAACTATGCACAGTAGTGTATATGTTGTTATAACCTGCTAAGTTTATAGTAAGTTGTTATGCAGAAAAATAGAAAATGAATACATCCCCAAACATTCTCTGTTACCCTTTTCTGTTTATTCTTTTGCTTTAGCACTTTTAGTCATTTAACATTTTCTATTTATACCTTGTTTTTTTGTCTGTGCTCCTCCCTCTACTCTTGAATGTAAGTTCCACTAAGACAGGGATTTTTGTCAAGTTTTTTCCTACCATTATATTCTCAGTGGCTTGAACAATCTCAAAAACGTTTGTTGATTGAATGAGTAAGTGAATGAATGCTAAGTCTTGTTACCTGAGCAGAGGAATTCATTAAGGTCACATGTATCTCAGAGAGGTAAGAAATGAGAGGAAAGGTATGTATTGTGTTTAACTTGTTATTATGGAAATGTTCAAGCATTGGTTCAATGTGATATGTTCCAGTAACAGCTTCTTACTAATCTGGCTTATTCCAGGGGTAAATTATAAATTCTTAGAGCAGCATTCTTCAACCTTTTGACTTGACCCACACTAAAAAAGGCATTTCATGGGGTGCCTGGCTGTCTCAGTCAGTGAAGCATGCAACTATTGATCTTGGGGTCGTGAGTTCGAGCCCCAAGTTGGCTGTAGAGATTACTTAAAATTTAAAAAAAAAATACATTTCAGGGGCACCTGGGTGGCTCAGTCGTTAAGCATCTGCCTTTGGCTCAGGTCATGATCCCAGGGTCGTGGGATCGAGCCCTGCATCGGGCTCCCTGCTCAGCGGGAAGCCTGCTTCTCCCTCTCCCACTCCCCCTGCTTGTGTTCCCTCTCTCGCTGTGTCTCTCTCTGTCAAATAAATAAATAAAATCTTAAAAAGAAAACATTTCACATTGTGTGTCAGTACACACGTATATGCACATGAATAACTGAAACAAAAGTTTCACAAAATAGTACTTATCTTTATAACATGCTCTGATAGTTTCCCATTCCACTTCATTCTGTTGTAGTCCATTTTTTAAAAACTGGATAAAACCCACTGACAGGTCCTAGAGAAACACTCCCGGCAATTCTCCATAAAGACCAATCCTCTGTGTTGTCAAGCATCTCCCAGGTTTGGATTGTGCTGGGTTTGACATTGTTCTTCTGGGTGAATATGGCAAGGGCATCCCATGTGCTGCCTGGAACGCAGAACCATGTGCCTTAGCAGATAGGAGAGCTTGAGGGGCAGGGCTGGCATTTTCTTGGGAAGCTGCAAATGAGTGTGCCTGGCTTGAGCGTGACCACCCTCTGCTTACAGCTGAGCCACAGGAATACCACAGGGCGGAAGCTCACCATCATGTTTGTATGAGTGTTCCTACATTTCAGAGACTCTACAAAATCCAAATGACTGTTACAACTAATCTTTAATCACGGGCATGTCTCAGATGTCTAAACGGTCCCTGAGTCACTGGCCTTTGGTACTTGAGTTCCTGACTGTAAAGTGGTTTTCAAAATCACTAAAACATTAGCTGTCTTACATGGTTCCAAATGGCACAACTTGTGAAGCTAATGAAAAATTATGGCAAAGCACTTTTCATATAGCATGAACTAATCAGTGTGCCTAGAAAAGCCAATGTTGATGAAGTACCATTAAGTTATGGCATAAAATGCCACCTGCAGGTAAAAATCTGGGTCTAATTTGCCTTTTTGCAAGGAGCTTTCTATTTATTTGAATGTGAAATGAATCCCCAGGATGGGTGGATGATAAAGATGCTGCCCCTTCAAGACTGATTTGATTTTAAATGTATTTGTTCTTTTGTTTAAGCATGTGGTTCAAGAGAAATTTTTTAAATCCCTTCTTAATTAGCTCAGCAGGGCAGCCAGAAGGAGGAAAATGCCTGATACCTTACTCCCTTGCTGTTCCTACGCCCACCACTCTGCTTGAGGCTTAAGGGGCCAGGGTAAAGAAAGCAAAGGTACCAGTAGACAAAGAGCACACAGAGATCAAGAGTAAATGAAGGTTATCTGGAATGTTTCTTTTTGGCTCCCCTCCCTTACCTGTCCTGTGGGCTTGGCCCTGTTTGCTGTGATTGTTTAGCTAGGGTCAGATGGCCTCATTTCTCTTCACTTTTGTTTCCATTAAAGCATTCCTGCCGTGTTTTTCCCTCCTGTGTGATAATACTAAATTTAATGGATTTCGCTAAGGTAACACTTTCTGTCACCATGAGAAGGCAACAGGCAAATTCAGAATGTAGGAAAATCTATGGAACAAATGACCCAAGTTTTCTACCATATGCATATCATGGGGGCTGGTAGGGGGAAGGAGATAAAGGTGTGTCAGGAAGAGAGGAGGAGTTGTAAAATAAAAGCGATAAGGGGCATTATTAATCAAGTTCAGTTTGTCTCAAAGTAGACACAAGAGTGTAGTGAACTTCTGACTGCCCATCACCCAGCTCCAACATGTATCAATATTTTGCTCTTCTTGCTTCAGTTATGCACTTCGATGATTGATTTGTGTGTTTTGTGAAGGACTTTAAAACAAAACCCAGAGTTCATATTATTTCACCCAGAAATACACTTTGGCAAATTTTGAGCCTTGAAAGAGGACTCTGCTGGAAATACCCCATGCCTCTAAATGAGGGTTTGCTCTAAGAACGTTATTGACATTTCTAAAAACACATTGTTCTACACAAACTTTCAGGATAAAATTCCTTCTGGACTTAGCATAGGAGAAAGGCCACAATTTCTCACCGGAACACGGAAAATTCAGTACACTGTCAAATTTTTCTTTATACAAAACTCACAAGGAACCTTTAAGACAAACCTCTGGCCAATCATGGCATCTGTCTACACTCTATAATATGAAATTTTGTGTTAACGTCATTTCCAGCTCTAATAGGTCCCTCTCCTTGCTGTTGCTTTCTCTTTCTCATCTGCTGCAAATCTGGGTTGCCTTACTGTATTTGCATACCCCTGTAAGCAGACGTGTGCCGGGGAATGTTTCACAACTGGTTCTCCGGAGGAAAAAAATGCGTATACAAACACAAACTTATTACAAATTTTGCTGCTATGAATGAGGTCCCACCCATAAGCAAATCACAGTAAAATGCACAACACTCTTTATTATTGTAAATTTCGTGCAGCCAAATGATTCTCATAGAATGCTTTGTGATTTTTGTCAAACTCTTTATCCATAGCTAACCTATGGTTGCAATCGGTCAAGAATAGTTCAAACATGAATGTTGGTTCATATTTTTATTTACTTTAACAAGGAAGATGAAAGTAAAACAATAAAAACCTGTGTTATGGATTAGAACTTCACTTTTTCCTCCTGATATGAGCGACCTTTTGCTAAACTGGTTATTTGTTTTCAAATATTGGAAGAATATTTGCTCAGGAATTTGTGTGTGTGTGTGCTGATCAAAATATGACTATAGACATGACACACTTTAAGTGTACTCTGTACTGTTATCATTCTATCCACTCCTTTACGAATGTAGAAAATAAAACAATAAATGAAACCTTGCTTTGTAGTGTTTTCCCATTCCCATGTTGTAAATACTCCCACCATGGTCAATTTCAAGGTGCCAACATGGGGGTGCTGAATGTGGATTTAGGAAGGGATGTGCAGAGATGCCTGGGTGGCTCAGTTGGTTAAGCATCTGCCTTCAGCTCAGGTCGTGATCCCAGGGTCCTGGTATTTGAGTCCCACATTGGGCTCCCGGCTCAGTGGGGAGCCTGCTTCTCCCTCTGCCTGCCCCTCCCCTTGCTTGTGCTCTCTCTCTCTCTCTCTCTGACAAATAAATAAATAAATCAAAAAAAAAAAAAAAAAGGAAGAGATGTGCATTAGGGACACCATTCTGCAGCATTTTCATCATGCAGGTACAGCGGACATAAATAACCTCAACAATGTAAGAAATGGTGAAACAGAATTAAAAGGTGATGAATTTGAGTATTTATTACTTTTATTTTTAATATAATTATTTAATTGTAAATTTCTAGATTTTAATTTTTATTAATGGCTTTTTAACAAACAACTTGCAAGATCCCTAGAAATTTAACAATAAATTTCTCATAAGCCAACACAAGAAGACTCCAACATACCACGTCTGTAAGCCAGATAAAATAATTTTGGAACTAGGTGGGCATGAAAAATGAATAGATAAACACACTTGTAGGGGTTCCTTTTATGGTAGGATTATGGATTGCTATAATAAAATCCCCCTGTGAAAATACTAGATCCTGGATTAATGATAACAAACATACTTTTTAAAGTATTGCCAAAATATTTATAATAGCCAAGACATGAAAACAATCTAAGTGTCTATTGATGAATGGATAAAGAAAATGTGGTGTGTGTGTGTGTGTGTGTGTGTGTGTGTATTTGTAATGGAATATTATTCAGCCATAGAAAAGAAGGAAATCCTGCCATTTGCAACAACATGGATGGACCTAGAAAGCATTGTCAGGCAGAGAAAGACAAATACTGCATGATCTCACCTCTATGTGAAATCTAAAAAAACCCAACCTGGGGCGCCTGGGTGGCTCAGTCGTTAAGCGTCTGCCTTTGGCTCGGGTCATGATCCCAGGATGGAGCCCCGCATCGGGCTCCTGGCTCGCCTGGAAGCCGGCTCCTCCCTCTCCCACTCCCCCTGCTTGTGTTCCCTCTCTCGCTGTGTCT